GGTCCGCGCCCTGGGCCCGCGGGTTAACTTAACCCGCCCCAGGACGGACCCAGAGGTGCGGAGGGCGGGGGCTGTAGCTCCAGCTCCTGTACTCAGACCCGATTCTGATCAGATGTGACCCGTTTCATTCACCCTCGCCCCCACCCTATCAAGCAAACCTTGCTTGTTTCACTAAATCCTCGTTTACTCGGCTTCCTCCTGTAATCTGCAATGCCCTAGGCATTCCACTTTCCTATGTTTTGGACTGGACACCAACTCAGGAATCATGTGGACGTTTCTCCGGGTTGGCAGGCCCACCACCGGGTTAGTTTCATTTCTCGGGGGACATACAATGCACGGCAATCAGGAAGAATTTTATGACTTGGGGGAAATGATGTAAAAAGGGGCCATCTGGTGGTCCAGTTGAACCTAGTTCTTTGGGGTTGAACTGAAATTCCTTCCTTCATTTTCCGATCCTTTCTCCTCAATCCACTTTCTAATAAAAAATATTAATTTTTAAATAGTGATTTTTAAAAATTTTTTTTGCGCTCTTTGGCAAGGTTGACAGGACTGTAGGTAAAATTTATTTTATTTTTATTCTGAGGACTGTATCCAAAAAAGGCAAGGATTGTAGCTCTTTTCTCATACTTATTAGTGGCATGACTTTGGGCAGGTTCTTTATCCTTTCAGCTTCTTGGTTTCCTCATTGGTAAAAAGGAGACAAGGTACATTAATCAGAGGCAACTTGTGAGAATGAAATGCAAATGTATGTGAAATGCTTAGGACAGAGCCTGACACCTGGAAAGCACTCACGATGTTATTGAATGTTATTGTCTTTAAAGACGCAGTGACTTATTTAAACCTAACAAGAGATGAAAGTTTAAATAAAACTATCTCAGCCGAATGACAGCTCCCTGTACTTCCTGGGCTAACCTCCTATGAAATAAACTGCCTTAGAATATTAATCTAAGAAGGTACATGCTACCCTACCCCAGAAGTCTCTAAGGACCTCCTCCCTCTGATCTTAAGACCAGATGAAGATTCAGGAGACTCAGCATCATGCCTGAAAAGGTGATGGGCTTTGAAAGCAGGTCTTAAAGGCAAGTTTGAAATATTTTCTTGCTTTTTTTCAATGCAAGATCTGTGTCTTCTCCCATTGTCATCAGATCACATTCTCTGAGGATGTCAGAGTGGTTGGCAGTTAGCTGGTTAGTGTCCTGAGAAGGTGCCCAGTGTACAGATGCCAGATTTAGCAAGTGAAACGCAGGGCACCCAATTAAATTTGAGTTTCAGATAAACCACAAAAAGATTTTAGTATAAGTAGCTACCATGCAATATTTGAAACCTATGGGCACTAAAACATTATGTGTTGTTTCTTTGAAATTCAAATTAACTGGGCATCCTGCAATTTTATCTGGCAACCCTAGTCCAGTGACATTAATAAAGAATGGGCCTCACAGAACAAAAGGACAGCAAGTCGACATAGACAGAGTATAAGGTGGGTCTGATGTGGGTTTTGTTTTTGTTTAATATGGGGAAGAAAAAAATAATGTACTTGTGTTTATAAGTTGATTCTTTGTTGAGCTCTTATCTCTTAATCCTCACTCTCATTTCCCATCAGCATAACAGTGCATATTTCCTGTTTCACACAAGTAAAAATGATGACTCTCTCCTCAATCAAGATATTGGAATAAATCATACTAGTGTGCTCAATAGTGCTTTCAGACAGTGTTTATCAAGGACAAAGTAAATGTCAGGGACCATTTCAAGGATGACTAAGACACATCCTGGAGGCTAAGGAAATAACAACAGAGAGAGGGGGCCCATGTAGATAAGTACAGAATGGTGGGGTTTCCAAGAAATGAGTTATTAAGTCTCCTTAGAAAGAGTGGAAGTGAAAGGCATCCTCACTGCACAGGATCCAAGGAAAAGCGGCTCTGCTGCCGATGAGCGGAGGAGGGAAGCCCCAGGGTGACAGCCGTGCCTTGGCCTGGAAATCAACCATCCTGATGGAAGTAATTAAACTGGAGACAACTGTGGGATTCAGTGTAACTGAAAGTGTGATTGGGAACTTGGGAACCCTTGAGGCCCTTAGAGGGTAATTGAATGCAAAGGGAAACAGTAAAAGATTACATTCCTTAAATTTAAAATAAAAAGATGTAAAGTTAAAACTAAGAACTCTGAGGAGGAAAACGCCCAGGAAAGGCAAGATGCGAGTGTGACATGACCCAAAATGGCTTGAGTTTTCAGCTACTGTGTACTATGCAAGAAACAGACTCCGTCAAACTTGCAGTCCCCAAACAGACTTCTCAGAATGGCCCAGAGAAGAATGTATGAGCGTCAGAGCACCCCACCAGACTCTGGGGAGCAATATCCATGTAGTCTAATAGCACAAACATGCTTATGGATTTTCAACCTTTAGAATCACCTTACAAACAAGCCAAGGAAGAATAACTATGATTATACAAGAGAATATAAATATGACTAATTTTTTAAATGCAGAATCATGGGTAAGGAGGTGGAAGCGAGGAGTGGGTGGAGACAAGGTTGGATTACTGAGGGTCTCATTTTAGAAAGTCAAGAGGTACTGTCTGTAGTTTGTAGGACAGGAAATAAAGGTCTGGATGCATAGCTACTTTGCAGAGGAGAGATGTGGTGGAGGGTTAGGGAGGAGAAAAGATAGGATCAGGGTGTAATGAGCTAGATGCTCACTCTCCTAGTAGAAATTAGACAGTGCCTAAGGTGATACACTGAGAAATAATAATACAGTGTTACTATTTTCAAAACATGGAGATCACCAGCCTCTAAAAAGCAAAGAGTGATTATCTTCGGGGAATTGGACTGGGGTCGGGATGGGCTGAGGTCAGAGACTCTAGCTTTTCTCTTTTAGTCCTACACTACTATTTAACTATCTGGAATATGCACATGGTTACATTGATGAAACATTTAAAACGTTTTAAGAATAGGAATCTGTGAAAAGGAAGGCTTCCCCAAGACAGGGGCTTTCAAGAATGAGCAGGAGTCCATCTAGAAGGAAGAGGGAGGCCTGCTACAGAATGTGGGGATGCATGAGCCAAGGCACGGGAGCCCAAAAGTGAAGGATATCCCTTGGAGGTGTCCAGTCCTCCACTGTGACCAGAGCCCCGGGTGCAGAGATAGGCTGGAGCAGCAGGAAAGGTGAAAAGGTGAGCTGGAGCTACTGAAGGGCTCTTCTGAGTAACGCAGTGGAGTTTGGACTGTAAGCTCTTTGAGGATAGACGCTGTGTCATTTTTATTCCCCTGCATCCAGTACAGAGCCCAGCCCACAGCAGTTGCCCAATAGATGTTTTCCGAATGAATGAAAAATATCATGGTGCAATGGAGAACCATCAGTGTTTTAAGCAGAGCAGTAGCATTTTTGGAAGACAATTTGGTACTGAAAAAAGGTGAACTGATGTTGGAGAAACCAAAAGCAGGGGAAGAATTAGGAGGCTATTAGGCAAAAGATGATATAAAACAGGATAGTGACAGGGAATTGAGACTGGAAGATCTACTTGAGAGATAACGAACAAGGCAGAAATGGACGCAAGGGATAAAGAAGAGGAATGAGTCCAAATCGGCCCTGAGATTTCTAGCTGGGGAAACCAGGTCGATGATGGAGCCATCAACGGAGAAAGGAAATCAGGGGAAAGGAACAGGTTGTAGAACACAATTCTCTGTATATTGAGTTTAGAAGACCTGAGGATGATGTTTTTAAAGTCTGCGTCTTGAACTATTAATGGCTTATGACATCTGCTTGGTGAGTTGACACAAATATTTGATCCAGCATCATCACAAGGATACTACTGCTTGGAGTAAAGGAGCCAAAAGAGAAAGCAAGAGGGAAGCACCTAAAGTCTCCCTCCCTCCTTCCCTTCCTCCCTCTACGCTGTGCCAGGTGCTTTATAAATGATTTCAGCTGCTCATCTCTCATATCCCAATGAGAAGGATGTTAAAACTTCGTTTGATTGGCTCAGCAAAGCTAAGGGCCTTGCCTGAGATCCCACAGTGGGCTCTGAATGGGAGGGGAGCACGTGGTCTCCATGACTCCACGGCGGTTACCAAACAGCTGACCTCCTTCACAGTGTCCTGGAAATTGTTTTCAATTTTCATGTTTTTAGATCAAATGCTCTTCCAAAAGAACACGCCTAGAACCCTCTTGGGACTGCAGAAGCGGACTGGAATTGCTGAACACTTTCAGTGCGAGCAGAGGGCAGTCCCCGAGCCTGGTTGGTCACCACCTAGTGAGGCTGACCTCGATTGGAGGCTTTTAATGAAGGAGGGGTCGGTTTCCATGGTGTTGTTCTTCCACAACAAGACAGGCAGCTAGCCCCGAGGGCTGCAGCTTTCAAACAAGACAGTAAGTATTTTTACATTACCTCTATCTTCCAATGTTTACTGCCGTTATTATAAACCATTCATGTTTATTAAAACTTTGATTTACTGGCTACTTTTTTTTTACATTGAGACACCTGTAATGAGAAAGATGGAAATTCAAGTGCACTTAAGTAAATGTATGAGGATTCTTGTGTAGGAAATTTTGCTAAATTTTTGTAGTTAGTGGTAGGCTGATGAATTGTATGTTTTCAACAATTTTTTTTAATAAAAGAAAGCTAATTAATAGTATCACTTATTTTAAAACAGCTTTATTGAGATACAATTCACACACCATAAAATTCATCTCTTTTAAAGTACACTGTTCAGTGCTTTTTAATATATTCAGAGTTGTGAAAGCATCACCCTCCATTGCCTAATTTTAGAACATTTCATCACCCCAAAAAGAAATTTTATGCTCCTGAGCAATCCTTTCCCCCTCCCCCACCTCATCCCAGTCCTAGGCCACCAATAATCTGTGTTCTATCTCTATAAATTTGCCTATTCTGGACGTTTCACGTACATGGACTCATACACTATGTGGTCTTTTGTGAGTGGCTTCTTTCACTTAGCATGTTTTCAAGGTTCATACATGTTGTAGCATGTATCAGTGCCTCATCTTTTTTTTATTGTCAAATGCTATTCCAGTGTATGAATACCCCACGTTTTGTTTAGGCATTCATCCATTAATGGACATTTGGATTGGTTCCACTTTTTCGCTATTATGAATGATGCTGCTATAAACATGTGTGTACATGTTTTTGTGTGGACATATGTTTTCAGTTCTTTTAGGTTTACACTAGGAGTGAAATTACTGGTCGTATGATAACTCCATGTTTAACCTTTTGAAGAGTTACCGAATTGCTTTCCAAACTGGCCGCACCATTTTGTATTCCCACCACAGTGCATGAGGATCCCAGTTCCCCCACATTCTCATGCTTTTTGCTGTTTGTCTCTCTTTTTTTTTTTTTTTGTCTTTTTAATGATAGCCATCCTAGCGGTTGTGAAGTGGTGTCTCACTGTGGTTTTGCATTTCCCTATTGACTAACGATGCTGAGCATCTTTTCGTGTCCTTATTGGCTTTGTATCCTTCGGGAAAAAAACTTCTGTTTATATTCTTTGACTATTTTTAACTGAGTTTTTTTTTTTCATTGTCGAGTTGTAGGAGTTCTTTATTCACTCTGGATGCAAGTCCCTTATCAGACATATGATTTCCAAATATTGTCACCAATTCTGTAGTTGCTTTTACACTTTCTCAAAGTATCGTTTACAGAACAAAATTTTTAATTTTGGTGAAATGCAATTTATGTAATTGTTTGGTTATTCCTTGAGCTTTTGTTGTCACACTTACGAATCATTGCCTAACCCACTGTGTGGAAGATTTACTCCCATGTTTTCTTCTTAAAGGTTTAGTTTTAGGTCTTATATTGAGGTCTGTGATCTATGTTAAGTTCTGTAGATGGCACGACGTAGAGAACCAACTTCCTTTTTTTGTAGGTGGCCATCCAATTATGTCAGTACCATTTGAAAAGACTATTCATCCCCCACTGAATTTTCCCAGCACCTTTGAAAGCAATTGACCGTAAATGTGAGGGTTGATTTCTGGATTCTCAATTCTAGTCTATTGCTCTATGTGTCTAACTCTGTGCCACACGGTGTACTTTGTACCACACTGTCTCGATTACCGTAGCTTTGTGGAAAGTTTAGAAACCAGGAGGTGTGAGTTCTCCTCCTTTGTTCGTCTTGTTCCAGATTGTTTTGGCTATTCTGAGCCCCTTGCATTTCCAGATTAGATCTTAGAATCAGTTTGTCAATTTCTCAGCAAATACTCTGGCTCCCCATTGAAAACTTCTACTTGAATTGCAACTTTCTCATGAGAAGTTGCAGAATTTCCTTGATATGAACTCAAGTGTGAAACAGATGGGGTTGATTTATGCATAAACCTGCTTAAAGGCTTGTGTGAGACACTGCTTCTGAAAATGGTGTGACTTTTCGTGACACCTGCAGGTCGGAATCCTTCTAGAGCTTCTATTTGCCATCTTGTTTTGTCAATGACCAAATGCTCCAGTGTAACATTTTTCTACTCAAACAAGCAAGAGATGAAACATATCCTGTGCCCTGAAGATGACTCCAGCTAAGGCTTCTGGGCACAAAGTGTGCTTACCCACCACCAACAACCCTTCCTCCCCCAGGATGGCCCACCCCTGCTAAACAGAGCAGGAGTTTCTCTTTTGTTACAGAATAGTCTTGATTTTGCCTTTTGTACTACAAACCCTACAAAATTTCCTATCCGGTCCTTTACAGGAAGAGTTTGTGGGCTCTTGGTCTGAGCATTAAAGTTGGAGCTACTTCCACTTTTCAGAATGTGCCTCCCTGCCATAGATGTGCTGTGTCTGAGTTGGGATCCTCCACTGTCGCTGGTCCCCAAGATGACTCTTACACTATCAGACCCATTGTCTGCACAGTGAATAAAACCAGTGACCTTTGACTATTATAATGAAAACAGTTTTGACTTCATGGATCCCCTAAAAGGGTTCCAGGGACCCCTACATGTCTATAGACCACAGTTTGAGAACTGTTGGTTCGTCTTACATGTTGTAAACAATTTTTAGCTATTTTGTTTGTGTCTTTACACCTTGTCCATCTCCTGAATTGGTGTAGCAAGTCTTTAATTTCCAGGGGGTCCCTGTTCTGTGTCCAGTGTAAACCTAACGCAAGACCCTGGCTAATTATACCCATTCCATGGGTGAGAAAGATTAGGCAAAGAATTACGCAGCTAACTCAGTATCACATTGCTGGCCCTTTGGAGCAAGAGTGGGAAGTAGTACTGAGAAGTGGTTTGAAGCCAAATAGCAAATGTCAGCCCGTAAGTTTAGCCTCTAGTCCTACAAGCAGGAAGGAGCCACTGATAGTTTTGGTGGGGGGTAGGGGATCAGCAGGCACAAACCACAGTAGCTAAGATCCAAATATACACTCTGTAGGCCACACTTGTGAAGCCACCCTGGATACAAATGGCTGAGGTAAGAAGAAAGTCAATGATAAGGAATCCTTTGGAATCACTCACTAGGAGTAAAAGAATTGTAGAGAATTTCCTAAGTGGCCGGTTTTCCCCACAGGTTTTTTTTTTTTTTTTTTTTTCCGGTCATGGAATTGACCAAAATGTCAGACATGACAAAACTCCACCAAGCGGTGGCTGCAGGGGACTACAGCTCAGTGAAGAAGATTTTGAAGAAAGGTCTCTGTGACCCAAACTACAAGGACATGGACTGGAATGACCGGACCCCACTTCACTGGGCGGCGATCCGAGGTGAGTGGGCAGTGCCTCGGGGGATCCATCCCTTCCGGTCCACCATTCATGAGGTTACTGGTTGGTAGTTGGTGTCGGGGAGTAGAAAGAACATTTCTTGGGAGTGCAGTGAATGAATGAGCACCATTTCAGTCCCGGCACCACCACTTACTAGTTGTGGCACCTTAGCTGAGTTACTTAACATCTCCACGCCTTAGTTTATCCATCTGTGTAATGAGAGCAATAATGCTGCCTTAGAATCTTGTGAGGATTCAGTAAGATAATGGGGTCTACACCGCCTTGTACGTAGTGGCTCTCAATTAATAATTATCAGCCCTCTGCTCTCTTGACCTATAGCAGGAATGGAGCATGCTTTCTGTGGGAGGACGGGAACTTTGTCCCGTTCATGGCTGGGTGCGTGCCAAACATGGCTCACCTATAGAATTGGAGGAGGATTGTGGCAAAAACTCAGCCAGTGGGCTTGTCAAGACCTGCAGACCTAGAACACCACTGAAGAATGTTAAGTAAGAAAGTGTTATAGTCAACTTTGCCTGCTAAAACTTTGTTTTGACTCCCACATGGAGAATGGGTTGGCAGGATGCAAGGTGGCTGCAGAAAAATCAGTTGGGAGAATTTTGCAGAAATTTAAGTACAAAGCACCCATCAGTGAACGTTTACTATGCGCTGGGCACTGTGCTGTGTACTTTATTATTTTTTTATGCATTTGTAAAATTATTTATTTATTTATTTATTATTTTAATGGAGGTACTGGGGATTGAACCCAGGACCTCTTACATGCTAGGCATGCGCTCTACCACTGAGCAATTTCCCTCCCCCCGGGGCTGTGTACTTTGTGCCTGTGATTTCATTTGCCCTCCACAAGAACTCAGCGGGGTAAGTGGTAATATCCTTAATTTACAAGTGAGGAAACTGGGCCCAGACATTTGTTTCTCATCCAGGATGCCGTGGTTAGCAAGTGGTATTTATTGTCAGGTGTAAACCCACATCTATCTGACTAGAAAACCTGGGTTCTTAATCTGTGCTAGCTTTCATGTAAGTGGGACTTACAGTATTTTTATCGCGATAGAGCTGACATATAACATTATGCAGTTTCAGGTGTACAACACAGTGATTCTACGTTTGTGTGTATTGTGAAATACTCATCACAATAAATACAGTGATCATGAGTCTATTGGTCTAGTTACCACACATAGTTACAATTTTTGTTTCCTTGTGATATCTTTTAAGATCTACTCTCTTAGCAACTTTCAAATATGCAATACAGCATTAGTCACTCAGCTGTACGCCACATTCCCATGGCATTTATTTTGTAACTGGAGGGCCCCTCCCCCGCCTCCACAACCACCAATCTCTTCTCTGTATCTATGAGCTTGTTTTCTGGTTTTGCTTTTATGTTTAGATTCTGCACGTAGTGAGATCGTGTGATATTTGCCTTTGTCTGTCTGACTGACTTCACTTAGGATAACACCCTCAAGGTCCATCCATGTTGCAAAATGCTTGGTTTTGAAATCAGCATGGAGACGGCCAAAAGCAACGCGAGCGGAGCTGCAGGCGGGTGTAGAGTGATTTGGGAAAGAAAGCAAGATTCATAGGCGGGGCCTGCGAGAATGGACAGGGGAGGGGCATGTCCTGGAAGGAGCAGAGGGAATCCTTGGAGGGCTCAGGCCCAGCATGGGGGCAACCGGAGTAAGGATGCGGCACTGAGTCTCTGGTAAAGAGAGGAAGAAGGGAGGAGAGGATGATGCTAGGAGACCCGAGGGGCCTCATAGGCCAATGTCTTCCCCTCTTCTGGGCAACTGAGGCTAGCTTTGGCTTCCCGCAGAGACGTTTTCATCTTAACCTCCTGTTTTTTCTTACATCCAAGGACACATGGAGGTTCTGCAGCTCCTGATAGAACACGGAGCCAGGCCCTGCCTGGTAACTGATGTGGGCTGGACCCCAGCTCATTTTGCAGCTGAGTCAGGCCATCTGAACGTGCTCAAAACTCTCCACGCGTTGCACGCTGCCATTGACGCCCCCGACTTCTTTGGAGACACACCAAAAAGGATCGCACAGATCTATGGGCAGAAAGCCTGTGTGGCGTTCCTGGAGAAGTGAGTTTCACTTATTTCCAGCTACAAAGGGCAGAGAAACGGGAGCTCGGGTCTTTGCAGGGAAGGTGATTTACATCTCACAAAGGAGCCTGCTTGTCCAAAGCACAGAGCATCGTGTTACCATCTTTAATTTCCTCTGGCAGGAGCACAGAGTGCTTCATTCTGTTACCACGTTTATCTCTTCTGTCTGAAGCACAGAGTGCACTGCAGTCAGTGACTGTGGCAGGTGAATCTTTGTAGAACTGGATGGTGAGCAAAATGCTCTTTTGCAACACCATAATACACTGTTTCTTCCACTCTCTTTCTGAAATGTCCGCGCCTTTGTCCTTCTATAGCATACAACCCAGAATTCCCAGCTTTGGATTGGTCTCTGTCTTTTCCACTCCTGTGCTTGGTCTGCTAGGGGAAAGCCCACGAATAGGCTGTTGGGTACCACCAGAAGTTCTAAGGTCTCTGTCTTCCCTCTGAACACGCTGGCCATCTCTTCCCACCTTTCTCCCTTGTTGACAATTTCCAGTTCTCATCACACCTCAGCCTGTCGCTCAGAGGGTATGCTTTCTGCTTCATGGAGAACATTGAAGCCACGGGTATACATTTTCAAACTCTTACACCTATGTATCATATCTACATCTACATCTGTTCCTTCTTGCCTTCCTACCCATCCTTCCGTGGGAAGTGTTATCCCTCCATACAGACCCTTCATTCAGTCCTCTGTGTCCCCTGCAAGATCATCATCCCCATGTTCTTTGTTGGCATCTTCTATGCTCTCTTCTGTATCTTTGTTTTTTTTCTATTCCTTCTCTTCACTTCTCTTTGCCCTCTGAACATGTTCAAATAGATCTTATTAAACAGACACACAAACAGCTAGAGACCCTTCTCATGTCTGCTATGTCTTTCTTCTTCCCTACGTTTCTAAGCTACTTGCAAGGTCATCTGTGTGATTGTCTCTACTTCTTCACCCATCATTGTGCTGAATCAGCTCTCATCCACAGAGAACCTTGCTGCTAAACTAATGGCCTCTTCTCAATTCACATCCTCCCCTTAATTAGGTATTTGCTAACTCTCCTCTGTTATTTTATCTGCTGCTACTCCCTTCAGGTTCTCCTCCCTAGCCGACCTTTTCTTCTCCTGATCTTTCTAAGTTCCTATCCTCGCGTGCCTTTTAGATGCTGGAATTCCTCGGGTCCTGTCTTTGGCTCTCCTCTGCTGACTTTCTGAGTAATCTCAGCTCCTCTGTAGGGACCAGTCGGTGGGTGAATGTGATCCACAACCCCAGCGTAATCAAGTGGAGGAGGCGTGATTCCTCCAGATGGTGGGGAGTGCTATTTCCAGGAAAAGTGGGCGGGCAGGCAGTGCTGAGCAGACAAAAGCAACAAAGGTCACCACATCACATGTAAGTCATTTCCCCTTATCATCTCTTCTGAGGAACTTCCCTTGTGACAGTTACAGGGCTTAGAGGGAAGGAATCCTGGTTAAGGGGAAATTAATCTGGACCCTAAAAGATAGTTAAGACCTGGCTAATGGAAGAGGGAGGAAGATTCGTCACTTGGAGTGAAGGTGCCAAGCTGGAAATGAGTGTAGGTTGCGTGTGAGTGTGAGGAGGTGGGGACAGTGGCGGGATGAGTGCCTGGCTGAGTAGAGCATTCACGCTGGAGGGAAGCGGAGAATAAGGCTGGGTGTTTGGGTGACCCCAGTGAGCAGGGCAGGCAGATGCGTGTGAACTCATCAGGGAACTGGCAAGATGAAGCAGAGGGGTTGGCAAGATGCAACAGAGACTTTAGCCAAGTGAGTCCTGTAGTGGAAGAGGCGGCAATGGTGCTGTGCAGGCAGAAGGGGAGACCCTTAGGCTCTAGGCAAGGAGATCACATAAGCAATGTCTTAATGCTTCATGTTGCAAGTAGGTGGGGTCCTGGACTAGAATGATGAAGAGAAAGGGATATAAAAGAATTTCAAAAGACACTTAGGCAGTGTTTGACAATTTTCTGAAAAGCCTGTGTATTCTAGCAGAACAACTCAACTCTCGATTCAGCCTCTTTTAAGTAGTGAATCTCTCATTCAGCCAATATTTTTAAGCCCTGGTAGATGCATGGCATTGAACTAGATACTAAAAAGGATTTAAAGATACATCGGATGCAGTGCTGGGCATTAAGAAGCTCCCTGTCTGGGACAAGAGATAACTTCTTTACATAAATCATGCTAGTATAAGATGGGGACAGGGGTCAGAAGAGCAGCGCAGAGGAGGGACAGTGTGGTCTAAGTTACTTCCAGCCTGCTGAGGGGACAGGAGCAGAGGGACAAGCAGGTTTGCTAGCCCCTGAATGACCTGGGCTTTCCACAATGCTTTGCACTTAAAATAATCTTTGCCCTGCCTGAATCACCATCTAGCCTCTCAAATTTCCTTTGTCTTCGTATTGGCACCAATTCTATCTCTGAAGTGGCTTTCACCAGTGTCTGGAAGCAGGGCGCATACTCACATTTAGCCTTATAGGCGAAACAGTACTTTTAATACGTCCGTGTGTATGATGATCAATTCACTTATTTCTCCGTCTGTCTATTATTCTGTATCTATCATCTCCCTCTGTATATATCATCTAACTATTCTTTTTTTTTATTTGGGGGGTAGGTAATTAAGTTTATTTATTTAATGGAGGTACTGGGGATTGAACCAAGGACCTCATGCGTGCTAAGCACGCGCTCTACCCCTGAGCTATACACTCCCCCCTCATCTAACTAGTCCTTACATAAATCCATCTGTACATACAATACATGTATGATCACGAGTCATTTTTATTTTCTTCCTTATACGCTTCTATACTTTAAACTTTTCTACAATGAACAGAGCTTTTCTAATTAGGAAAAAATGCAATTAAAAGAGAAATGAAGGAAAACAGCCTCCCGGTAATAATGCAGGATGCTCTCCAATATGAGCACTTTAAGAATTAGCAGTGCCTGCTTGGAGCTAAGCGCCTGTCTCCTATTCTGTGCACATCGCACCCAGGCATGCCATTTCTCCCCACCTCAAAGTAGTTGCTTTAGCGCCCAGACCTCTTAAGTGTACAGAAATGCTTGAATTTGGTCTGATTTCTCCTTGACCGGACCACGGAGATGCCAGGCTGTTTGCAGAGGGCGGAGGAGAGGCCCCTCCGCAGGCGGGGCAGGCCGTGCGGCCCCCAGGCTGAGAGCCCGGCCCCCCTCTCCTAGGGCCGAGCCCCAGTGCCGGGACCACCGCCGCGCCGCCAGCCAGAAGGGGCTGCGGCTGGATCAGCGGGACGAAGCCTGGGACGCCAAGAAGAGAGAGCTGGAGCTGTCTCTTCCTCCCTGGAATCAAAACACGAATATGAAAAAGAGTAAGAAAAGGCGGAGTCCCCCCAGGCTCAGCAATATCAAGGAGCGGAGAGTGTGAGAAGGCAGGCATCCCAGGGCCTGGAGCCGTGATTTCCAGCGCGAGAGGCTCCCCGCGACGGCTTCTACCAGCAGCGGGGGCTGGAAGTCCTGCCTGGGGCTCCCTCCACCGGCTGTTTCCTCCTTGTCAGCACTTGCTGTGCACCAGAATGTCCAGAAAGGGACAAATGTCAGCTGTTTGCATTTTGTCATCAATGATTTGCACCGTCAGCATCCCCTGAGCTCCCATAGGCAATTCTCGAATTTCAGGGGCAGGGGGAGGGTATAGCTCAGTGGTGGAGCGCATGCTTAGCACACACAAGGTCCTGGGTTCAATCCCCAGTGCCTCTATTAAAAAAAAAATCATAAATAAATAAATCTAATTACCTCCCCCCACAAAAAATTAAAAATTAAAAAAAATTAGAATTTCAAGGGCAAAGAAAAATCTCCTCCTAAGGAAACTTGATTATTTCAATAAAAAAAGTAACAAAATCTCAAAAATCTGCAACATTATCAATCTATGAAAAAAAATTATTTGTTGTCACATAGACCAAGCAAAGAGGTGAAGAGAGATATTTCCCAGTTTCTAGCTATTTTCCCTTGGAGTAGAAACCGACAATCTCAGCAGGGCCATTTTTAACCAACGATCCCTTCTCCATGAGAGAAACAATCTGGGCAACAGATCAGCTCAGTGAGGAAAAAAAAAAACCCTTGAATTAATTTCATCCCACTTCATAATGAGAGAGAGCATAAAATAATGGAACATGTGATTACAGCTCCACTTGAGCAACTGTGCAGCTTAGGAAATCTAAATACAGATTAGACATTTCCAATGAAAATATTGCATCCAAATTAAGATGTGCTATAAATGTAAAATGCATACCATATTTTGAAGACAGGACAAAAGTGAAAAATAGCTTATTAATAATAAATATTGATTACATATTAAAGTGATAATCTTTTGAATATTGCATTAAATAAAATACATTACTAACATGAATTTTGCCTTTCTCGGTTCACTTTTTAAACAATGTGGCTAGTAGAATGGTTAAAATTCCATAGGTGGCTTGCGGTGGCTTGCTTTTCCCTATCAGACAGCACTGCAATAGAAGCCAGAAAACATTTACAGCCCCATTCTAGGTTTACTAATTGCTCTGCCTGAATCAATGTCTTTGGCCACTTAAGATCATCCTTATTACGCATTTGTCACTGCTTACAGGCCATGCTTGGTTTGAATTTTCTGAAATGAATAAATGCCTGAGCATCTTACAGGAAAGTGGTGTAGCTGTGGAGGATTCCTCTTCCAGTGTTTCTTCATCCTGAGCATCAGTTCCCCTTCTCTGTGTCCTGCAGTTCACAGGGGTGGTTCCTGCTTGCCATATTGGTCCACAATCAGAGGGAACAACTCCAGCTGGACCAACGAAATTCTCCTAGGAGCAGGAAGGGGGAAGGCCCTGGGCTGATGGTTCTGGAATATGAGGCTAAACTCAGGGGACACAGAGATCTCTGATTTCTGTCCTGGACAGCCCACCCTCACCCCAACCCACTCACACGCATTGCCCTTGACCTCTGTGCAGAGTTTCCATCCTTTCTCTGAGTTCACACTTCCCCACCACTAACCGCAGCCTACACAGAGGCTTGTGGGCTGATGCGGGTGAGGCGGGGAGGGAGAGGGAGGAGGGGAGGAAGGTGGGCTAAAAAGAGCGCAGGCTGCAACACTGAGCCTCCTACTGTGGGAAAAGAAACTTCCATAGTTTTCCCCTCTATCACTTACACTGAGTCCTGTCTCCTCGCGAGTCCCCCTCACTGATGGACTTCCCCACCCCAACGGGCGAGCCCCCTCCCTCATTGGACCCTCATTCCCCTCACTGATCCCCCTGTCTATTCAGAGACCTCAGTCCCCCAAGGTGCCCCCTCTTCACAATTTCCTGTCTACCATCAGCCCTGGCCACACCCTCAGAAAGGCCACACTCAGACATGTGACCCTGAGCTGGGCCCATATGGGTTGGAGCTGTGGGTTCACACCTCCCATCTCAGCGGGGACCCCCCTGGGGTCTCTACCTTCCTCGGATTCTCAGAAGCAGGGTGGGCTTCACTGCCCTCTCCCCCTCATCATCATCTTTGGACCCTGAGTGACCCCCCTAGCCACTCTTCCTCTGGGGCAATTGGCCCTTCTGGGCACTGACCACTGGCTGCTGAACTGACCAAAGGGCAGGGAAATCTTGCCTGGAGTCAGAATGGAGGGTGGTCATCTGGTCTGGATCTGGTCTGGGCTCCCATTTTCAGAGGGACATTAATGACCAGGGGTTGTGGGCCAGGGGCTGGGATGGGATGAACTGGGAAATGTTGGGGATGGGGCCGCCTCCCAGACCTGCTGGGTCCGGGTAGGACCCAGTACTAGAGGCAGGAGGATATACAGGAGGGTCCGTTAACAGCCAGGACTCCCTGCCCTGAGGTGTCTAGATGGATGGGCACCTTTCTGGGGTACCCAAGATGCCCTCATTAAGAGTAGGCTGGACTTGGGGATTTCTGTGGCCCCAACTTCAACTTTCTTACCCCATCTAGATGATTAAAAAGAAAGGAAAAAAAAAATCTTCTCCTGGGAATTTGAAAAGGAGTCTTCATGAGAGGAGGGACCAGTTTTATGTGAGGGTGAACGAAGGCTGCTTACCATTGGCTGTGGGACCAAGAAGCCTGAAGGGATTTAAGGTGGGGTGCGGGGGATGACACGGTTGCACTGCAGACAGATTGAAGCGGGGGAATGGAGGCAGGAAGACCCACTAGGAAAGTGCTGGCATAGCCCGGGAAGAGGTACCCCTGGGAGGCAGTGGTTAAAAGCCTGGATGCCCAGTCAGACAGATCCGTGAGGTGCTGACCTTGGAAATAATGTACTGTCTTCCAAGGGTTGTCACTGTGAGAATGAAGTGACAGAGACATGCACAACACTTCACACAGGGCCTGACACAAAGACTGTGCTCAGCCCATGCAAGCTACCAGGCCCACTGAGGCGCCCCTGTCTCTCCCTCTGCTCAGTAAAGATGTGCTGAGCATCTGCCTGGTGCTAAGTGCTGTGACTAAGGAGGAAGATGTCATTCCTGCCCTCCGGCCTTTTTTGTTGCAGAGTAAGTTCTTAACCTTTTCAGACCATGGACTTCTTTGGTTGTCTGGTGAAGCCCACAGACCTTGTCTCAAAATCATGTTTTAAAAGTATAAAATAAAATCCATGAAAGGTTCTTATTGAGCCTCATGTGCAGCAAAAGTGGAGAACCACCACTCTAGATGTCTGGTGTTGTGAGAGAAAGCCTTTTATTGATTCTTCAATGGGTTTTCAAATAGAATAATCCATTGAGCATTTACTGAGCACCTACTATGTGCTGGGCAGTAGAAATACAGCAGAGAATAAATCACAGTTCCTGCCCTCATGAACTAACAGGAAGGAGGGGGCAGGTAATAAGCAAATAAACTGAGAAATATATACTGTATCTGATGGTGATGGGTGCTGTGGGGAAAATAAAGCAGATTGTGTTAGTCATGGTTCTCCACAGAAACAGAACCTACAGAAGATTCCCTCTCCTCCCCCCGCCCCCACCAGCTGTCAGACATGAGAATCCTCTCTTACCTGGAGAAGGTCAGCCTTTTGTTCTATTCGGGCCTTCAACTGATTGGGTGAGGCCCACCCACATTATGGGGACAATCTGCTTTCCTCAGTCTAGGAACTTAAAATGTTCATTTCATCCAAAAACACCCTCACAGAAAGGGCCAGAATAATGTCTGACCAAACATCTCGGTACCCCTTGGCCCAGTGAAGTCGACAAGTAAATTAAACCATCCTCTGGGTTAATGGACCAGGTTATCGCCTTTCCTGGGGTGCCATTTGATAAGGAGGGAAACAGGGAGGGTCCCTCCAAGGAGAGGCCCTTGGACAGAGACCTAAGTGAAGGCAAAG